GAAGTTGTCAGAATGTAAAGCAATATACATTATACACTGTATCAAAATATATAGAATCAAATATACAAAAACAACTAAACTAACTAAATATTAAGAATATATGAACATAATAGATAATAAATATTCTAAATAGCAAAAATATTTCACACATAACAAACTAAGATAATCACTACAGCATTGCACTTAGAATAGAAAACACAAACTAAAATTAAAACCTAACCTTGATGCAACGTCATCAATAATGTCATCATATGAAATCTGCTCCCCCACTGAGTGATTGATACTAATCAGAGCCAGGTTAGTGAGCCGCCCCTGAAACATAGGTGACCTCAGGTATGACTTGATCAAGTTTTGAAAAGCTCCTCTCAGCTTGAGCCACAGTGACTGGCAGAGCAGTCCAAAAGTTGGGGTAGATCTCCAATAGATCTTTATCATGATCCATAATATTTTACAATTGCCTCTGAAATTGTAATTTAAACTGACATAAAAAAAACTGTAGACTACCAAAAATGCCAACTTTTACAGAACAAATCATGTAAAAATAATCAGTGCAGCCATCTGCAATAAATAAACAGGATAGTTAGTGGTGACTGGGGAGTTTTCTTCTGCTTGTAGAGTTGTTTTATTTATTATTATGTGAACATGATCAACATGTGTTTGTTGTTGTTCAGGCAGGCCACAGGCTGCAGTGAGCATTTAACAAATCCTAATTTGAATCAGTAAAAACGATTCAAGGACTTTTTTCGAACCATTTGAATATTCGTTTAAATATTTCAGCCTTATTAGCTCTGTTAGCAATTAGTTGACCGCATTTAACTGTTAAAATCCCAGTTAACTTGTTCAAAAATTGAAAACATGCATCATGAGAGCTACATACCTTTATCTTTCTCCTCTTTTTTCTTTTTTTCCCCCTGAATGGGGCACCTGGTGGTTTTAGCCTTTTTATGTTCATCTCTTCTGTTTGGCTCTTGACTCAATAAGTTTCCTTTAGTCAGGACTAAACAATTTGACCTTGATGGGGGGGTGACCACAAAATCATTTTGTTTTTCCTTTTTTTATTCGGTCATTTCACACAATTCAGAGAAACCTGAAAGAATGATAGGCCTGTGTTTATGATATTATGAATGAAATATGGAAGAACGTTAAGATGTGATTGACTTTAGCCATGTTAACACAGTTGATTCAGCCCCTGCACGCTCATTTCATTTGGGAAAGACGCAGAGGTGAATTCCCCCGCCGCACCCCTCCCCTTCCTGTTCTTCATAGACACACGGTGCACGTGAACGTTCTCAGTCAGCAGGAGCGCCTGCAGCTGCAGGGGGCGCCAACTTGCTGTTTCCAATCCAGACACTGTCATATGACAGATAATAGAAAACCTCGGTGCGGCGCAGATTTCCTTTTTTTTTTTTTTTTTACTCCGCGCTTGTGCGCCCCTTTTGTGTCATGAAAAAATGCCGCCCCGGGCAACTGCCCTGTCTGCCCGTGCCTAAAACCGCTACTGGTCACCAGATTACACTGTAATATTGAGTTGTTGGTAATTGAAAAAGTAGCTTGAGATATTTCTAGAGCTGACTATTTGTTTCTTATTCACTGTTAGCATTGTTAGCTCAGCATTAGCCTCAAGCCTGCTTCACCCCTGCTTTTAAGGGGTACAAGAAATAACTTCTGGGTCGCTCCTTCTACTGGCTTCTGGCCACAACACTACTGCTCTTTGCCAGTGTTGAATTACAAATGCCAGCACCAGCAGCAGTTGCTGGTGCAGACTTGGCAGCCCTGTGAGCTTGAATGTGATTGGCTCTGTAACCAGGAAGTATGGAGCCAGGAGACTGTTCTTACTTATTAAGCCTTTGAGTTTGGGGGTCAAGTAAGGTTAGCTATGTTGCCTTAACAAATAGCATCATTAGAAAACATTTAAACATTCAAGTGCAAAAAAAAAAGGAAAATTAGAATAAATCTGCAAATAAAATACTTTATAGCTCTGTATGTTTCAAGACATCTGGCTAATGTTTTTTATTCAAAGAATAATAATTTGCTTTAAAGACTGTCTTCTGATTACATCACTTTTTAAGTTAAAGAGGTCTGAACATGTATCACAGGATATTTACAGGGATTTATTGCAGGTAGATTACACCTCAACAACTTGCTTAAAATAAAAATATATATATTTGACTTGATTTATCAGTTTTTTCCACTTTATAGTTTCAACAAGACTGATTAACTTAAAGTGTTGGGTCAAAATCCTCAGAAATGCATGAAAAAGATAATTAAATTTGGCTGAATTTGATGCTTTTCTTGGTTGCATGTGAACACAACGTAACACAGGATACGTGCAGCTGGATTTAGTCATCCCACCTTTCCCTTTAGCAAACAGTTGCCCCATTAGCATTCATCTGGCATCTTGATCTCCGGAAACAGGTAAATCTGATGTTCTTTAACTGTGGCTAAATTCCCCCATCTCCTGAGAAAAAGGTCTCCTTCATTCGTTTGACCTTCTAAAGCTCTGTGAGCCTATGATTTGTTGCCAGGCTGATAATTTGACTCATAATTTATTTGCTGATATCAGCTGCCTCTTGCAGCTAGAACACAATCCATTACTGCTGCTGCTTCTTGCATTAAACATAAAGGTTGTGAAGTCAAAATGATGAAAGATCTACATGAAGACTGCATTTCCTCTGTGTTGTCTGACATGGACAACGATCATGACAAAGGGGAAGAGATTGAGGTTAGCTCAAATCTAGTGCTTTGTGTTTTCCTCTCAGCAGAAATGAGCAAAAAGCAAACACACGCACACAAGAGTGTTGCAGAAAAGGCTGAGGAGAGGATGGGCACGGAGTGACAAATCACCCCTTCTCACAATGCCCCAGCACAATAGCACTGCCTGAGAACAAGTAATGAATAAATAAAGTTCTCTGAAATTGAATAGGGAGAGCAATTTGTGAAGCAGTAGCCTTTGTGTGGAAGATGAAACAACCGTAAGTGGAAAGGAGCACACAAACAAAGCAACCACAACTGGTTTTCTGTCCACAAAGCAAAACAATTACTAAAACAGCTGCAACTTTTATTTTTATGACTCATCATCTCACTACGTTCACACTGCTGTTCTGCTGCAGTTTAAGATCGTGGTGAGATTTGGCTCAGGCCAGAGCAGAATCGGCTCGTCAAGGGTCACAGTCAGCAGCTCATCTCCTCTCAGGGATGATGACGTACCAACGCTGAGATGAAAAATAGAGAGAAAAGGCTAAGAGAACAAGGCTAATAAGAGTTAACAGCATGGGGTCAGATTGAATTTCAAGGCATGTGGGGAGAGACAGGTGTTGATTGGTGTTTTGAGCACGTGTAGGCTTCTTTAAAAAGGCTTTCTCTTTGATTTTCACCCCCTTCTGGCTATTTTTTTCCAAGCTTTTCCCTGGCAACAATCTTATGTAAGAGTTCAAGCAGAGAGCATTTGGAAAGCTGTGCACTGAAACCATCTATTAGTCCTAACAAAAACTAAATAATGGATTTCAAGATGATGCACTTAAAAAAATACCCCCAGATGTAATCACTTAAGCTGTAAACAAGAGTCTAGACTGTTGCAGCCGCAGCCGTCATTTATAACTTCTGACTGCAGAACACAAATTGGAAGTCTCATTCTGGCTGCGAGGGAGAACAAGAGGCGTGGGCGGCTTGAAAGGGGGGGGAAATTAATGTCCTGAAAAAGAGACTGAATCAATATGGTATCCCCGGGATGTGAAAAGGTGGAATGAGAATGAGGCGGAGCAGGAGGAGGGCTGTTGTACTGTACTAATGGCATTTGAGCAAGATTAATGGCTGTTTAAGGAGGAAATGTATTAATCAGTGGACAGCTGCAGGTGCAGGACTTCACCAGTGTGGGCGGAGTTTTAACATTTTATGATAAATAATCATCCAATCGCATTATTGATGGTGTTTCTTTGCTTTTGTTTCTTTAGGTAGACCAAAACACAAGCCATGACTCAACAGCACCACCTACTGGTTTGAGATTTTTCACCAGCAAACACATGCACGTGTGCCCCATCTGCCCTTTGTCACCGGTTCTGTTCATTACCTTTATGGACAGAATTTCTAGGCGCAGCCGTGGTGTTGAGTGTGTCGAGTTTGGTGGCAGGAGAATCTCGTCTCTGCTTTTTGCGGATGATGTGGTCCTCCTAGCTTCATCCAGCTCTGACCTTCAGCTCTTGCTGGGTAGGTTCGCAGCCAAGTGTGAAGCGGCTGGGATGAGGATCAGCACCTCCAAATCTGAGACCATGGTTCTCGACCGAGAAAGGGTGGCTTGCCAACTCCGGGTCGGGAGAGAGGTCCTACCTCAAGTGGAGGAGTTTAAGTATCTCGGGGTCTTGTTCATGAGTGAGGGTAGGAGGGATCGGGAGATCGACAGACGGATTGGTTCGGCATCTGCAGTGATGCGGACGCTGAGCTGATCTGTTGTGGTGAAGAGAAAGGTGAGCCAGAAAGCCAGCCTCTTGATTTACCGGTCGACCTACGTCCCAATCCTCACCTATGGTCATGAGCTTTGGGTAATGACCGAAAGAACGAGATCGCGGATACAAGCGGCCGAAATGAGTTTCCTCCGTAGGGTAGCGGGGCTCAGGCTTAGAGATAGGGTGAGGAGCGCGGACATTCGGGAGGGACTCGGAGTAGAACCGCTGCTCCTCCGGATCAAAAGGAGTCAGTTGAGGTGCTTTGGGCATCTGGTCAGGATGCCCCCTGGACGCCTCCCTGGGGAGGTGTTTCGGGCATGTCCTGCCGGCAGGAGGCCCCCGGGTCGACCCAGGACACGTTGGAGAGGTTGCATCTCCAATCTGGTCCGGGAACGCCTTGGGGTCCTACCGGAGGAGCTGGTGGAGGTGGCTGGGGAGAGGACGGTCTGGAGCTCCCTAGTTGGGATGCTGCCCCCGCGACCCGGACCCGGATAAGCAGAGGAAGACGACGACGAGTCATCCAACAAAAGCCATGGCATTATAAGATAAATCCAGTCCCTGTTCATGTTTAATTAAGGAATGGTTTATTCATGTCAAAAAAACACAAGTTCAGCCTGCACAGGTACAAAACAACCTCTCGTGTTGTTACAAAATCCCTTACAGACTCAAAACACTGCAAACGCTCTCCAATAAATAATCAGTAAAAAGTTATAACAGACCTAAAGGAACACATTCAGACAAACGCAGACAGGAGGTCATGTGTCTGTCTGTCACTTGCACTTGTATGTGAGCTGTTTGCGATGATAGTGGATCCAGGCGGGAGCAGAAACAAGCCCGGTCAGGTAGCCAATCATAGCGCCAAGGCTGCAGGAAACTGGCCAGACCTGCAAGAAAGGACGGCACGTTTACTGGCACCCAGTGTGATGAAACACCTCAATACAGATGTGAAGGATCCTTATGAGCATGCCCTGACTGGAGCTGTGTTATTTTAAATAAAAGGCTCTTTTTCTTAAGTTACAGCACATAGAACATAGTCTCCATAACAACCACTTCAATCTGCCTGTTGTACAATAATTATAAGAAATTTAAAGAAAGTAGAGCGAAAGCATCAAAGATGTTACAAAAGAAACACCTTATTAGGTTCACCTGTCCAATTGATTGTTTACACACACACACACACACACACACACACACACACACACACACACACACACAATCAGCTAATCACAAGGCAACAACTCATTAAACACGGAACTAAGAATTGGTAAAGATGACTTGCTTAATGTTTTTTCAACACATTTGCAGTGGTCTCAAGTATAAACGAGTGTGAGTCGATCTCTTTGGGAAAAAGCTCTGGCGCTCCTGTTTTAGGAAGTAGAAGTGAGCCGTAGCAGAGGAGGAGCAGAAGAAGACAGATTTGGAGTCTTATATCAGACATCTCGCCTCTGATTGGCTAACAGCAACGTGACTCTACCATTGACTTTGTTTGATTTGCAACGTTAATGTTTTATCTCAACAAATAACGCAAGCCTGAAGAAGTTCTGCCATGTAATGAAGTTGCTAATGCTAACGGTTAGCTTCTACTAGCCGAGACATGCTCTGCTCTCTCCTGGATGCTAAACCAAAAACACACTTCTCTGTAGTGAGCAATGGTTTCTCAGTGAACTTGGTCTTTCAGATCAAACTGACCATCAGAATGAGGAGAAAGGAGATTTAAGTGACTTAGAAGGTGACATGATAGTTGGTGCCAGACTGGCTGGTCTGAGTGTTTCAGAAACTGCTGATCTCCTGGGAATTTCACCTACAACCATCTCTAGGGTTTATATAAAGTCAGTTGAGAAAAGTGAAAATATCCAGTGAGCAGCAATCGTGTAGATGCAAATGTGTTGTCGTCAGAGGAGAATGGTCAGACTGGTTGGAGATGATGGAAAGAAAACAGCAGCTCAAAAGTCCACTGGTTCCAATCAGAGTCTTGTTGTTGACCACAGTGGACCCATCTGCTTCCAGCAGGATAACGCAGCATGTCACAAAGCTCAGATCAGCTCTAGTTCCAACAATATTTTCATTTCATGCAAAGAGCAACAACATATTTTCTGGATGCTGATACTGCACTTATTGGGGTCATAACATTTTCAGTATGTCTTTTTATTTGTGTTGCAAGCCCTTAAACACACTCAATATTTAAAATAACACTTGCAAATTGGATCACACATCAGCGTGATTCAGATTCCCTTCTCATCAGTAACTAAATGAGAAAAAGCAAAAACTCAAGAACATTTTTAAAAGGAAAGTTAAGACTCATGTTGATTTTGCAAAGATAAAATAAAGGGAATTGTTTAAAAAAATTGTATTTAAGAAAGTTTGATCTCAAATTAAAAAAATAAAATTAAAATAAAAGCTCAATCATGTACATGTGGGTTTTCTATGCGAGCTGCTGACCTGCCAGGGCCTGTCCCAGTCCAAAGGAATTGGAAATGCTCCAACCCAGGCTCCTATCAGGGTGCAGGCCACTGTGATCTGCAGGCAGGTGTCCCACACTGACATGGCTCTGAGGACAGGGACAGATCAAGAGTAAAGTGTGGGAATGGGATGGAAAGATGATGACAGGAGAGTTTTGGCTTACCCATGCCGACTGAACACTCGTATCCAGGCCTGAACGTTAGGGCCAAGAACACAGAGGCACCTCAGCGTGGTCAGTGAGGTCAGGAGGATAGAAAGTGAAAATGTCTCTAAAGCAGATCTAAAAAGTATAAAGTTAAACACAAGCTGTGTCAGCTAAGTAAAACCGAAGAAGAGAAGCACTGCTGTAGATAAATCTAGAGTGAAAAAAAGCTCTAAATACACTGTTTAACAATGTGTGTGTGTGTGTGTTACTTGAGCAGAATCAGCTACTCACTCTATCAATGGAGCTCCATAGAGAACCACCACCGTGTAGAAGAACAAACACGACAGGAAGAAGTACAAACAGGAGCGAGACAGCCTGGACAGCTGAGGACAGAAAGACATGATCGGATTAAAAACTAAATGTTTTGGGATGAAAACTAAAATCTTAGAGCATTTGAGAATGTGAGGGATGGGTTCAAAAAATATGTGACCAACAATAAATTATAGAGAAGTTGATCATTTAAGCATGTAAAGAAGCACATCTTGCAAAATATAAAGATTATTTATTTGTCAATTCAACACACGTTAAACATGAGGTTCATTATTACAGCCTAAAACGTAGTAACTACAGTAGTAAAAAACATTTATAGCAAAATAATATCAAAATAGTAGTAAAATATAACAAGTCATAATAAACAAAGTGAAATAATTAATGTTGTGTAAAAAAATACATTTCCTAACTTACAACTTTGGTTTGATATACTAAGATGTTTTAATGAAATAGTAACAGCTTCTAAATCCAAGACCATGCTCTTGAGTAGCCTTCTCCGGGTCAGGGATGAGGTCCCGCCTCAAGTGGAGGAGTTTAAGTATTTCGAGGTCTTTTTCACGAGTGAGGGAAAGCTGGAGCGTGAGATCGATAGGCGGATTGGTGCTACGTCTGCAGTGCAGCGGGCGTTGTACCGATCTGTCGTGGTGGAGAGAGCTGAGCTGGAAGGCGAGTTTACCAGTCGATCTACGTTCCTCCCCTCATCTATGGTCACGGGATTTGGGTAGTGACCGAAAGAACGAGATCACATATACAAGCGGCTGAAATGAGTTTTCTCCACTGGGGATCGGGTGAGAAGCTCGGTCATCCAGGAGGGGTTCGGAGTTAGACCAGCTGCTCCTCCACATCGAGACAAACCAGTTGAGGTGGCTTGGGCATCTAGTTAGGATGTCTCATGGACGCCTCCTGGTGAGGTTTACTGGGCACTTCAAACTGGGAGGAGACCCAAAAGAAGATCCAGGACACGCTGGAGGGTCTCTTGGATGGCCAGGGAACGCCTTTGGATTCTGCTCCTTCCAGATTTCTTTGTTTTCACCTTTTTGTCACGCCAAAATGTTTCAGATCAGCAAACACATTTTCAATATCGGACAAAGATAACCTGGGAAATTAAATGTTTAATTTATTAACAAAAATAGTCTAAACCAACCTGGAAACGCACTGTCCAAAATGGAATAATTTGCTACAAGTCTTAAGGATTATTCTTTTTTTAACAAATGTGAGAGGGTCCTTTATGTTCTTCTTTGTCAGCTGAGGTCATCATCATAGGACTCTCACATGGAGGCCATTTTTGTTTCCCATCTCTTTTTATTATTAAATCCTGAAGTCTGACCTCGACATTAACCAAGTGAGACCTGATGTGTTGCTTCTTGAGATTTTTTTGCCTGCTTTATGAGACATGTTCTCTGAAGTCATTTCTAGAAGAGGCAAATGAACAAAACGTAATTCACGATTTAACAAAGGTGGAGGTACTTCCTTTGTTTCTTTGTACGCTTTGAGGTGACTTATGTTGTGAACTGGCGCTTTATGAAAAAATTAAATTTATTTGCCTCAAAGCAAGAATGCTGCAGGTTCGAATCCTGCCTGCATGGCCTTTCTGCGTGGAGTTAGGATGTTCTCCCCATGCTTGTGTGGCCCTTCTCCAGTAACTTGCTTCCTCCCATGGACCAGACACATCCATGAAAAAGGTTCAATAATGACTCTAAATAGTCTCTAGGTGGGAGAGTGTATGTTTGAATGGTTGTTTTTCCTTCTATATGACTGGAGACCTGTCCAGTATGTCCCCTAGCTCTCATCTGATGATGATTAGCGCTAAAGATGAGCCGTTTAGATCATGGATGAACCGAATTAAAATGAAATGAAACTCGGATGGTTTTGTTAGCTCTCTTCCCTTCATAAAGGACATAATCCTTTGAAAACTGCATTTAGTTTAGTTTACTCAAGTTCTCTTTGCCTGATGTTGAAATTTGTTTGATCTGAACCATTTAAGTGGGACAAAAAATTAAACAAATAATATATGAAATGTGTTAAGAGACAATTACTTTTTTCACACCTAAATAAAATAGATCATAACAAGAAACGCTTACAATTTCTACTTTTTCATCACCTCACCTTACAATATCCAAAACTTACCTTCATTTTCACACATCTATTAAATTTAATTAAAAAGCAAGTTGACTGATGTCCATTTCCCTGTCCAAATAATAATAATATTAATAATAACAAACGAATACATTTTGTAAAATTCATAAGATACCTTCACATATCACATAATACATTTATATGTCGAACATAATCAACAATTCACTTTAAAAACATTATCTAGTTGTTTTGGCACCTTGTATCCCAGTGTGTGCTTTTTGGTGGGCGGTGAGATGCCGAGCAGCCAGAAGATAGCGACGCTGACACAGGTCACCGTACCGGACACCGCGTAGACCCACAGCAGGTGAGTCCCATACACTGAGAAGCCCGGGACAAACACCGCGGGGATGACCGTGGCCATGAACACCGAGGCGGTGATAATCGCGTGAGTAGACGCCATAGCTTTAATTTCATGGTCCCACATGATGAAGACGTGAACTATTTACAACAAGAACCCGATAACGATGCGGGGAAGTCAAATAAAACACCTAAAAAACGTAAGGTAACATTGGGAAACTGTCAGGTCTATGTATTTCTTTTTCGCGTTTCCGTAAACGCGAAGACGTAAGAACGTCCGCTTAATTTCACAGTAAAAGTCTACTGCGCACAGACATCTTAGGTGAATGATGAAAAAACATCAGTTTCGAAACATATTATCATAGATTATCGGGTCAGTTTATTTCAATTTCAAGTGAAAAAGGTGTATGTTTTACTTGTTACTCAATCTCTGCTAATGAATACGCTTGGGTTAAATAAGGTAAAAGTGCTTGACTTTATCAAACATTTATTTTGAAGAACCTATAAGCAAATAAACGGGAAGTAGTAAGTTATAGTTCGCGTTGCGTAACTCAATTGTTTTAACCAATCACAGAAGATGTTACTCGTTAAAGCAACCAATGAAACCTGTCATTTGAAATGCCTCAGCTGACCGGACGTTTACATTAGCAAAGCAAGCTAAAGCTTACAAACGATCATTTCTACTGCGTCATTCGACACACCGCAAAGATGGTCTGTGAAAAGTGTATGTGTCATTTGCTTCTGATTTTCAGACGTATTGTTCATTTTAAAATCTGATGAACGTTACTTTTGTCAGCGAAAGTCTCAAATGCAAACTAGAAGGCCAATAGTTTAGTTCTTATTGTATTTTCCTCCATAATTGTTTTGTTTTATATTTTAGGCGAGAAGAAACTGGGAAAAGTAATTACCCCCGACACTTGGAAGGACGGAGCACGGAATACAACAGGTGACCCGAGGAATGCGTAGTGAAATGTTTTTTTGCCATCAGTATGATAAATTGCTGTTTGTTAATTATTCTAGATATGAGACTTGTTGTCTTGTTTACAAGTTACTTTTGAAAATGTAATCATTGTTTCTATATTTTTTCACGTTACTAGCAGGTTTAGTCCTCATTTGGTTGATCACGCCATAATATAAATTAATTGGTGTTTATTTTTTTTATATTAGTATAGGTATAGTAACCTTTAGATGTCCGTGTTTAACAAGTTTGTCTTCTTTCTTTGTGTCAGAGAGTGGAGGACGTAAGCTAAATGAGAACAAGATTTTGACATCCAAAAAAGCCAGGTGAGTAAAAACAATTTATAGAAAAAAATAAACTTTAATTACAACAATCTAATGAATGTAAATACAAATATGAGAAGTCAGAGAAAATATTCTAAACGCATTAATATACTTATCTTAAAATTACCTTCTTGAAATTGAACCAAAAACTGTTATTTTACTAAAGTTCAACCTTAAGATCATATAAAACTTTCTCACCACCATATTTGCTTGGGCATACATTTTGCTGCATTGGCACAAATCACCACATGAATCATCATTAATCATCTGTCCTTAGTATTTTACTTTATGAACCACGTTTAAATCCTGATATTCTTCATTTCTTGCAATCATAACAGTTGATTTTTACATCATAGCTGGAACACACTCTTAAGTAACTGTTGCAAACCTGCTCTGAAGAGTAAAAGACCATCAAATCTTCAGCAGTCATGAGATGATTGGTCATTATTTCCCCATTCATCCACTCTTATGCTCTCTTAGTTTAATAAAACTTAGATCGTCCATATACAAGTTAAAGGGAATAGGTGACAATATCTGGTGAACCTTATTAGTAACAGAAAAGGAGTAGCTCTCATTTGGTTTTTAGTCTGATTGTAAGATTTGTATAGAATATGAGGTGACACCTTGTTCTTAAATCTTCCTAAAAAGCCCATCGTAATGAACTCTTATCTGAACTATTCCTCAGAAGAAGTCACACAACGGTTTAGCTACTGTTTTTCAATGTTGTATATTACTAATTCAAAGTGGTCAGCTGATATAACTGGTCATGTGTGTAACAATTATTTTCATCAGGTTTGACCCTTACAGCAAGACTGGCTTCGCAATCTGCAGGATCTGCAAAAGCTCAGTTCATCAGGCTGGATCTCACTACTGCCAGGGCTGCGCTTACAAGAAAGGTATGAAGTGATTGTGCTGAAGATTTAGTTTTGTGTCTCACAAAAACGCTACAGCATTTCTATTAGCCCTTTTACATAAAACACACACACACATGCTCTCTATTCAACACCCTGCTGAGTTTTTCACATGTAATCATGTCACCAACAACATTATCCTTTTCCTCTGAGACAAATCCATCTGCATCCTATAGGAAAACGTGACAGTAACTGGGACGAGTTGTGAAACTGCAATGTTTGTCTGTTGTTGAACAATTCAACTTGTGACTTTTCTGCTCAGATGTTTTCATTTTTCAGTGTGTCTTAGTGTCAGAATCCGAGAGAAAATTACAGCCTCACATCAACAGAGACTGTACTTACATAATCTAGAGCCATTCTCGATAGGTTTGTTTGAATACAGTGTGTTTGTACTGTATTTAGGCTGAATGATGAAATGTAAACAGGGCTTTATCTAAAAAGGCATATCTTGATGAACATTGAAGCGAACTGTCTTAGTTGCAGGAAATGAAAGAGTGGAGTGGCCATGTTTCAGATGGTTCATCAAACATGGAAGATGCTCAGTGAAACAAATCATCTAATTTATAGTTTGCTGAAGTTTTCTTTTTTATTATAATGATTTCAAGGCCTACATGTCCCATTGAACCTGCTGCCTTTGGTATGTCTTCATGATGATGCCTAGGTAGACTCACAATTAGGAATAGGGCTGCACGATATTAGAAAAACCTGCGATATTCGATAACAGTGTTTAATATTGCGATATCGATATTACTCACGATAAATGAACAAATACTAAAGTATGCAGTGTTGATGTCGTCTGGCGTGTGACGTCTGCTCTGGGTTCAAAGCAAACAAAAACTAATGCATGAATTCCATTACAACATAATATTTTTATTGCAAAAATATGCAGCTGCATCTGCTACTGTATTAGTAGCAAAACAATAAACTGCATGCATGCAGTTTCTCAGTGACTTTAAAACGTCACCTCCACCATAAAACTTTTTCTGATGCTCCAAATGCAGAAAAACATCCCTTACCAGGGTTTTTGAATAAATAAAAAAATATCAGAAAATAAGTTTAAATGTTAAATAATAGTTAACATCACTTAAATGGAACAGCAAATTCTCTCATTGCTACTGAGCATTTTCTCCACTTATGTGGATATGATACAAGGCTGTTGCTGCTATTGGGAAGTGAACTGTGCTGGGCCAAACTAGGAGAATATTAAGATTTTCTGAGGGAAAGAGAAAAACAATTGTCTACCTTTCAGAAGAGGAACTGGCAAAAAAACTACATGGAAAATATGTGGAAACGTTTGTTTTTAACCCCAAATTGAACAAGTTTACCTAGATCTTAAAATGCAGCTCAGATGATGAAACTGCAACTATGATTCTGATAACAAGCTAACAAATTGAACTAAGATAACTGGCTAGCAAAGCTTCTGACTGACAGTTTATGTGCAGCAGCAAATCAACTATCCTAATTAACAAGGTTATAAAAGCTCATAAATGAAAAATCACTTTGATGTGTGGGGGAACTTTTCCAGGCCCTTTTTAGCAGGGTGGGACTGGGAGGAGAGTGCTGTAGCCTTTTAGCTGGAAGCTAACCGGCTCCTGGGGCTAACATCACCACCTGGTGGAATAGTGAGAGAATGGCCCTGTATAAGTATGCAGACGACATGGCACTGGTGGCATCAGTCGGAGGACCTGTCTAAATATCAGCAGGCGGTCAGCAATCTGGTCCAGACATTTGAAGACTTTCACCTGGGGCTGAATATCTCAAAAACTAAAGAAATGTGCTGTGGGGCAGTCAGTGAGGCAGACACATCCCTGTTCAAACCCCTCAGCATACAGGGTCAGCCTGTGGAGCAGGTTCAGTCATTCAGGTATCTGGGAACAGAAATTGATGACCACATGTCCTTTTCAAATCACAGCAACAGTGTCTACAAGAAAGCGCTGCAAAGACTCCACCTGCTAAGGAAGCTAAGAGCACTCAATGTGAACAAGGACATCCTAACAATTGTATACAAATAACTGATTGAATCCATTCTAACTTTAAATATTACAGCTTGGTATAACTTTCTTGCAGTTAATAACAAAACACAACTCTCTCGCATTATTAAATTAGGCAGCAAAATTACAGGCTCACCTCAGATCCCACTTTCTGTTCTTCACGAGCGAGCAGTGCACAGGAAGGCAACCCTGATCAGTGCAGACTCAACCCATCCATTGAACCCACATTTTCAGCTACATTCCATCAGGAAGGAGGCACAGAGTTCCATTGGCCAAGAAAGGTGTCTATAAGAAATCATTTGTTCCCACCGCAATTACAATTTTGAAGTCTTAAAATTTTATTTTTTTTTACGATGATAACATTTTAATACCTTTTAATTGTCTTTTATATATTTGTGTGAATGCGATATGGATTGTATTGTAAGGTGAGCCATGTCAAAGGCGAATTTCTGCCTCAATTCGAGGTGGACAATGAAGTTTATCTATCTAACACTAGCGATATGGAGGTAGGTGGGTTGGTTCACCGGCACGTGTCAGAGTCAGCCCGGTTACTATCAGCTGCTTAACAACACCGAGCGGACTCACGTTTGAAAGCAGCGCTGATTCCAGAAACCTCAGCACAAAGTGCGTTCGTTAATCTGAGCCAGCATGACGCACAAGGGAACGGCGCCGCTAACTCAGTTTGGGTGTTGCGTTCCACCCTTCCTAAGGGTCTATATAGGGGGCGGGCGTATTACGTGAACGGACCCATCTGATTGGCCGCATATCAGAAGGGCTACATTTGATTGGTCAAATAAAACTTCCGTGTAAAAAACAGAGCTGGTTTACAAAAAGTTGATGTATGACACAGATGGAAATGTTTGAACCAAACATTTATCGCTGTTTTTGACGTGCTTTGCGATGGGCCTATCGCACGTCCTGTTATCCCGATGACGATAAGTTTTCGATATATTGTGCAGCCCTAATTGGGAATTATGAAACTCATCATTTTTACTCCACTCTACATAATTCTTAGTGGAATGCATGGCTGTGCAGTTGGTTGCACTGTTGCTTTGCTGCAAGAAGGTTGCCAGTTCAATCCCACATAAGCGGCCTTTCCGCGTGAGTTGACATGTTTTCCTCATGCACGTGTGGATTTTTTCCAGGTGCTTTGGTTTCCTCCCACAAATCAAAAACATGCATGTTGAGTAGCTTTGGATAAAAGTGTCTGTAAAGTAAATAAACATAATAAATAATTAAAGCTGCAAGCAGCGTCGTTCGGCCCTCGCAGCTCCGCGCCGCTCCGGCCTGGCCGGCAGGCCGGGGCACCAGGGCACGTCTGGCAGAACAGAAACGTCACCCACCCCGACACCAGAAACCGCAAATGGCCTCCTAGTCCGCACCTCACCCTGACTCAGCATCCCCTCTGAGCTCACCATTAAATTGAATTGTAAGGTCACGACGTCATGCCAGAATTCACCATGGCATCAAAGCCCCTCCCTATCTGGAAAGCTATCAGATCTGAATGGTCATTACAACATCATGAAGACAGTGCATGACCTCAGTGTCATGTTGACTAAATTAGAGGGGACAAATATGGGCATTTCACCATAAAACAATAGACTTCCTGTTGTCAGGGGGCGGGGCTTAGGTGATGTCAGCTGTCCATAATGACGTTGCCTTAAGATGTGGTCAGTGATCACACAGACAAAGTTTGATATAGATCTGATCGTGCACATGGGAGTTATTAAGTCAAGTAATGTAATGGCGAAAGGTCAAAGTTTGAGGCTTAGCCACGCCCACACCTTTATACTTATTTAAAATCCGACGGTTGAATTTTTTCCACTATATCTTAAGAGTATCTAGCAGAAGTTACAAGGCGATTGGTGAAAAGGTCGACGGAGCATCACTCTCCAAACAACGTGTGCGAAAACCACAAAATCGAGTACTTGGACCAAAATGGCCGACTTCCTGTGCGACTTTGCACTTGGCTCCAAGAGACTTTTTTGTAGGTCCTGAGACACCACATTGGTGTACCAAATTTCGTAATCCTCAGTCAAAGCATGGCTTGGGGCTGACAGTTTTAATGGTCCTAGGGGGCGCTAATTCAGAAAATAGGCCACGCCCACAAACTTAAGCTGACCATGTCTATTGGGGGTCAGACTAGGATCACTCGCAACAAATTTCGAGGTGATATCACGATAAATGAAGAAATGAGAGGCAAACGTATTTCCATGGCGTGATGGCGAATTTCGCCATGCTCCCAAAGCCCCGCATTTTTTCAAAACCTTCCAGTACTGGAGACCAAGTGACCTCAACGTGTCTGCTGCTATTTACCAGAGATTCCTGGTGATTGGGTAAAAGGAGTCCAATAGGGAGCTGTGAAAAAAAGAGTGGCCTGGAGAAAGGTCAAAGTTTGAGGCTTAGCCACGCCCACACCTTTATACTTATTTAAAATCCGACGGTTGAATTTTTTCCTCTATGTCTTAAGAGTATATAGCAGAAGTTTGAAGGCGATTGGTGAAAAGGGCGACGGAGCATCACTCTCCTAACAACGTGTGCGAAAACCACTAAATTGCGAACTTGGACCAAAATGGACGACTTCCTGTGCGACTTTGCACTTGGCTCCAAGAGACTTTTTTGTAGGTCCTGAGACACCACATTAGTGTACCAAATTTCGTAATCCTCAGTCAAAGCATGGCTTGGGGCTGACAGTTTTAATGGTCCTAGGGGGCGCTATTTCAGAAAATAGGCCACGCCCACCGGATATTGACATCAGATCTTTTGGGGGGCCGGACTAGGATCACTCACAAGAAGTTTCGTGACGATATCTCTAGAAATGACGAAATGGGAGGCAAACGTAAGGCCACGGCGGTACGCCTGAATTCGCTGCGCCGCCAAAGCCCCGCCCTCTGCCGAAAACTCCCATAAAGTGACGCCAAGCAACTCCCACTTGTCTTGAGTTACCAGCTACAAATTCGTGATGATTAAGTGAAATGGGGCAATTTGGGACCT